TCTCTCTCTCTCTCTCTCTCTCTCTCTCTCTCTCTCTCTCTCTCTCTCTCTCTCTCTCTCTCTCTCTCTCCTTGAAAAACATTCTGCATGGATCTGGACTATGGGTTCATCCAGATGCATTCAAACTCAGTCTGACCCAAACTCCTCAATGTATCCATACCATCCTAATCTGAGTAATCTCCAAATACATTCACTGACCTGTGCCGAGACATTGCAGTCCTGCATCCTTTGCCCTCTCAGGAGCTATAGGTCCTATGATCATGCCATATGGATGGAAAAACATCTCTGCACAGCCGGTGTAAACAGTTCAGGCTGATAATTTTGGATTTGTTTTATGACGAATTTGCAGGTGCGCTTCCATGAGAAGTTTCACGGTAGGGGTTTATACGACTGCCAGAAGGATCTTTCTGAGATTTTCTACAACGGCTATGAGATCTACATGGAGTTTGGGGGAATCCTTGACGGTTGGATTGATGTGATGGTATCATCACCCGAATCTTCTGCTGCAGAATCAGCCGAATGGGTTGAAGAAAACATTTTGAGTGCCATCTACCAACTTTGCAGCGAGCCGACTGGTCTCCCAGGTGTGGATCTGGTGATGAAAATTATGCGCCCCTGCTGTTTGACGGCATCTCCAATTGTTCCACGGAGGTATCGGAGGGATGACCAGTGCGTCACAGAGGAAATGCTGATTGAGGGGATGGAGAGGGAGGAATATAATTACAAACATTCCTGGCCTGCCATTGGGGATGAGCAGGGCCAGGAAATTCTTCCACGATCATGCGACGATGCTATGGCACTAATCAGACCGAAAACACTGGAGTGCCACTTCTCCGTTCAGAGGCATGAGCTGCACAGAGTTTGTGAGAGCTTCAATGTAGTTGACGGGAACTCGGGACAAAGACACCGCGAATCTGGTTGCGAAAACAGTGCTGGCAGCGGGGGGGATCGTTCTGAGGCACCACTTGATTGTGACCAGCCCACTAACAATGTTCAAAAGGTGGGTGATTTGCTGACGAGCAGTATTCATAATCTTGCTAGAAAATCTGACCAAATCAGCACTGGCAGCTTCGGCGATTGTTCTGAGGCACCATTTGGATGTGAACAGCCTCCAAAATATGCGCAAGAGTTGGCTGACTTGATGACGAGGGGTTTTCACGATGTGTGTAGAAAAGTTGACCGAAATTTTCGGTCCATCAACGAGATGAAAGAAGTGGCGAACATTCAGAGGGAAGAGCAAAGAAATGCATTCGCAAGAATCTGCAGTACTCTGTCTAGCATATCTGTCTTTGCCACTGAGCAGCACAGTCATCGCCTACCTCATCGCGTTTTGATCACTGAGAGGACACCTGGCTCTTGCCAGAAACTGAGTTTCCTGATTGGCCTAAGGGCAGTTGAGCTGCACCTCATGTGCGAGTCCCGAGGCTGTTGCCATGTTGTGCATGGCCAGAAGGGGAAGAAGTTGCGTCTTCCGAAAGAGGAAAGTCGGCATGCGTGGACTCTCTTCAAGTGGACAATTCTAGCTGTGACTGCGCTGCTGAAAACCGGCTGCACAATTTCCATGGGGATCCATCAGCTTGTGCCAGACTTGGGTGGCATCGTGAACTGGACAAGCTTTGTGATCGGTGCAGTGGGTGATGCTTGTTTGGATTTTGTGGACCTGGAAGACCTCAAGCGGAGAATGAATAACGTTGGAAAGGATATGTTCAAGGATGATGGTCCGGAAGATGGCATGCAGCGTCAGAAAGCAATGGAGTGGCTGGAGAGAATCCTGGAAGGTGGGGCAGTCGACGAGGTATGGGAAAGATTTGATCTCAGGAGGGTGAAGTACAGAGACACAGGCTCGGTAGCCTGGATATGTAGCTCCTGTCTCAAGAATAGCCAGCTGTTTGTGGAGCCTTTTTAGGTGAATCCATGCCACTTAACTGACACATGAGCCATGTACTCAAGAAGAGCGAGCTGTTTATGCATCTCAGGTCTGAAGAAGTGCCAGTGCTCTGTGCCGCTTTACTGTGGTGTTGTGTAGAGTAGAGGATAGAGTAGGTGGTCATGCCTGCAGGTAGAGAGGCCAGCCAGGACTAAGCACTTTTATTGTTGTTGTCACCTGTTGATGTATTAATTACTGGGACCTGAGGGGAGGGTTTTTCTCGTCAAAGAGACTTCAACTTTGACTGCTCTTGCTCAGATGTGAGCATTGCTTTGCGGTTTCTGCTTGTAGTCTAGTCACCATATGCATGGTGGTTAAGAGAGTTCATCGGGCTCGTGCTTTGAGTTTCTTTGTGCAGATCCGTTGCAGTTTGGTATTGGCTGCATTTCTTACGAAGGGCTACCTACTGGTGCAAGCAGTAGTGCTGTGCAGAACACTGTTGAGCGGCAGTCTGATGACCTCTGGCCATAGAGCTCTTCTGCTGGGGTTGAGAGCATAGGGGAGGAAGGGTGAAGAAGGATGTCCTATGGCAAGCGCCGAGCAATCAAGACAACCTCTCGTGATCGTTGCTCTTGACATGGTGGTACTTGTCACAAGTTGTCAGTATCACTCTATTTTTGTGAATTGGCCCGTACATCCTTAGCATTGCCAACTTGCCAGATGATGCCATGACTGACTGCAGTCAGTGAGTTGTATCAGGTGTGAGTCAGCAAGCACAAATAGTTATTCAGAACCCTGTATCAGGTGACTGCCGCATCGTCTTCTTAGCATGACATTGTGCCATGAGGGGGTTGACCAAACTGCTTGAGAGTCCTTTTAATTGGGAGGTGCGAGTGGCATTCAACCTTGAGAGTCATCTCAGCTCTGACGGTTTTGGTGGGAGATGGGCTGTGCATGGGAAGGTGGAGCACATGATGTGAAAGTGGCATATGCAATGTTATGCACTGAACACACCAGCAGCTGAATGATGCACATCACCCGTTCACTGCAGCAGTTGCAAAGGACATGAGTAACCTCCGAGACGCACATGCTCTCGCATATGAGATGATAGGGCATGGTGTAAAATGGCCTGGAGCAGAAATTTAATTTGAAGCAGAGGGTAGGAACTTAACTTTGCTAGCTGCAGGGGGAGTAGCCGTAGGCAACAAGTCATTAGACTGCCTGAGGGATCATCTGAGTTTCGACCTATCAAGTCACAACATGCACTTTTGTGGGTGAACGAGTTTCCCTTATTCGAGTGGGTTGAAGATGAACAGCGGCTGAAGAATGCACATCTTCCGTTCACAGCAGAAGTTGCGGAGGCCCGGAGGGCATCAATAACCTCCGGAACGCACATGCTCTCACATATGACATGGTGTAAAATGGGGTGGAGATTGGCGGAGGACGTCCGCGCATCTACAAGCGAGAGGTTCAAGAGAAGATCTATGATGCCATATGCTCGTCCAGGCAACAAGCATGACACTGTCAAGCGGAGGAAAAGTTTGAAATTCTGGAATCCGATGCATCCGACCTCAGTGCGCCATCCCACAGAAAGCATTGCATTCTTGATGCAGCACCAATCAGATGCAGCAGTTGGTAATGCTCTTTGCAGCACAGCCATCCATCAGCGGTGTCATTGCGTTCTGAAAAACTAGACAAGCTAAGTTCGCACTGTTAAAGGCACCTTCCTCTGTCAGTCCCGCTCAGCGCAAAGAACCTATGCTGAAGATGAAGTGCAGAGTAAAGATGAGCCAAACAACAGACAGAGAAAGGTGGAGCAGAGTTTGTTCCCAGAGTTCTTGCTGGCATTGCTGCGATTCGCTCAACTGTCTTGCCCGGTTGCATTTCCCAGTCTCCTCGGTTTCTTGTGAAACTAATCTGTGGTCAGCCACGCATGGGTGGTTGTGGCATATTGCCCTTCTCCCCTCCTCCTCCTCCTCTGTTCCTCCTCTTCCCATATACTTAGGTGGAGCACATGAGGTGGGAGTGGTACACCCATGTTGAGCAGATGCAGCAGAGGAGCCCAGGTTCGCCACATAAAGCGTTGAATAAGCCTTGAGCCGCTGTCGGCCACAATGTTAGATTATTTTTGAGGCACACGGCACCCCATTAAATAACTCTGTTGGGTTGGCCCGGCGCGTGATCCCAACTGCATGGGGTGGGTTTGACTATGTTCCGCAAAGCTGTTTACCTGAGCAACCTGAGCCGGCTGTCAATCAAGGGGGGGGAGAGGAAGATCCAAGAGAGATGGAGGAGTGCTGCTCAATTTGCTATAAATAACTGTGTGATTACCTGTGCAGTTTTCAGTTCGAGAAATCTGGATTTCTTTGCCTTTCTTAACTCTGTTCACTGCATTGTCCAGGTCTGCCTGTGATTTTTCACTGATGTACATATGTTGTGTGACACTGTTTGCCTGCTGAGTTTTTGGCCCCAGTCTGACTCCTGGTGCTAACTCTGTTGGCAGTGATGTGCGCCCTTGCCTCGGACAAGGTAGGAATAGGGAGGGGTAGGACCCGGGAACAGTAGCGACATACTTTGGGGCAGTGGCCAGGGAAATAAGTAGAATACACTAAGGATCCAACAGGGGTTTTCCAGCAAGTCCGATGGGGCAAAAGACCCCGTGGCTTTCGAGTAGGTCATGATGGCCATGTCCCGAGCATAGAAAGCTTTAAAGGTAGATTCGGGACCTGCAGGTAGATATCAGTCTGAAATGGTGATCCCGACCAAAAGCAGGAATGCCTGCTAGCAGTGCTAGGGAGTCAGAAAAGAAGTCCGCAGTACCTACCCTGGAGGTACTGGAGGCCAGGTAGCCAAGAGTATATCATTCGGTGCAGGGTAGTTCACTCGCTCACAAAGCAGTGACTGTCATGCTGCTGGTCCGCCGAGAGGGAAAGTGAGAGGGAGCACATGGAGGGGAAGGTGGAGCTGGAGGGTGAGCGAGAAGACCTTGGGGTCCATGGCTATTGAGTGGTAGTAGGGAGAAGTAGGAGACCCCCTAGGCTATGGAGGTAGAGGGAGAAGACCTTCCAGCCGGGATATGGACATGAAGAGAGGTTGAAGGAGGATAAGGGTCGGAACTGGCAAGGAGACTAAGTCTTATCTTTGGCTGTGGTGAGCCGGAATCTCCATCTTCCTGGTTGGTGCTGCATCAAGAAGGCCCCTGCTGGGATACGAGCTCGGCATAGGCTTCATCCAGAGGAGTAACTGTGGCAGCAGGCTAGCAGCGAAGATGAGAGAGAAGTCAAAGTGGTGCGCTGCCCTTTTGAATATCAGTGTAAGCCATGGATGCTCCGCCATGGCTATTTCTCATACCAGATAGAGAGTAGAGGAGTGGGATAAAGTCGAGCTTATAATTCTAGTCTGACACGACTCTTTGTTCATTTGATCATTATTATTGCAATTCATCATTAATAAAGAGCAGGGGTAAATGATGAGAGGGAGATGACATTTGTTCCTACTTGTGTTCTTCTTCTTCTACAGTATCTACTTTCCTTCATTCTCTTAAACTCAGTCTTCTCCTATTTGAGTTGTGAATCTTGCGATCTATGAGAATGTCTCACATTTGAGCTTTGCAACATGAAATGGACATTTAATTTAGACAGAATCATGGCAACTGTTAATAACTTAATATTGTATTTGTCAAAACCCTTCTTCTTCTGAAATACAGTCTTCAAGTGATTGAATTGGTTTAGGTGAAGTGGGGCAAACTTCTTATCAACCATGCAGGTTCCCTAACAATGTAAAACAAAAGGAACAGCCATTTCATTTCGTCTCAAAACTCGAGCCAAGAACCAACAAATAACACAGCCGAGATGGCATTACCACGATGCAAGTATTGCAGGCCCATGGTTGACGATGCAAATATTGCACGCTGTGAGCGAGCGAGCGAGAGCGAGAGAGAGAGAGAGAGAGAGAGAGAGAGAGAGAGAGAGAGAGAGAGAGAGAGAGAGAGCACATGACTGTCCTCTTTACGTACGTGGGCAAGTGGGCTTCAGGGAGAGACCAAACAGGTTGGAGAGAGGAAATTCCTGTCAATAAAGTTGAATAAACTGCCACTGTGACAGATGCTCCGTACTGAGACAAACATAGCCATGATAAGAGAATAACTCAATGATCTCCAGCAATGATGCCAATGTCCCATCGCTCCCCCCACTTAGTTGTCTGAGCTCTGACTCCCACTCTGTCACTAAACACAAAGGTGAAGAAGGAGAGAGATGAAGGGGCTGGATTGTAGCAGACCAATGCCCCCTTGTAACAGTCTTTTTTTTGCAAGCGAGGTTCTCCTTAAGGCTTTGCATTCATCTGATTCCAGCAGTGACAAGGGGGCAGGGTGGAGAGTGAGAGGGGTGTCTCAACAACCCCAAACAGCCAAACAACCGCCCCACCCCACCCCCACACACTCGACACCCCCACACGCCATTTCACCCTGAAACCATAACCCCCCTGAGACCCCCCCCAACAACCAGAACCCCTCAACAACCGTGTACTCGTAGGTGGTGGTGGTGGTGGGGGGTGTGGAAATCTGTTTATTCTTTTTCTTCTTCTTTTTTCCCCCGTAAACGCCACACCCCCCCGGGTGGTGCCCGACTCTCGTGCACCAGAGGGGGGCGAGCGTTCGATTTCTTCCCGGCCCCTGCCACGTGGCGAGTTTGAATGCGTTTGATTGCATATGCAGGGGGATTGAACGCGCACGTTTTGAACCTGAACGCATGGCGCACGCTCAGGGTGTTCAAACAGGGACATAGCAGCAGTTGCATGTATTTACCGTTCCGGCATATGGGCTGGGTCCTTCCAACAGACTTTCTTCAAAGCAGTTGTCTAATTTTATTATGAAGGCCTTTTGACTGTCATCATGTCATGAGTGCCTTTTCACAGCTCCGTTTGTTCACATTGTCAACTGATTTCCTCTTGATTGTACTGAACTGTCAAAGGCCCTTCTCGTGAATGATGTGGCTACTGAGAGAGAGAGAGAGAGAGAGAGAGAGAGAGAGAGAGAGAGAGAGAGAGAGAGAGAGAGAGAGAGAAACCTAGCGACCGATGAATGAATCAATCAATTGATTCAATTTGATTTTTT